ATTTATAACAGTATTCTGTCTGCATGTCTGCTGCAGGCCAGAAGAGGGCACCAGATCTCATTACAGATGGTTGTGAGCCACCATGTGGTTACTGGGTATTGAACTCAGGACCTCTGGAAGAGCAGTCAGTGCTCTTAACCTCTGAGCCATCTCTCTAAGACTTTTTTCAAGCTGCTCTTGGTCAGAGTGTTTTATTACAGCTGTAGAAAGATGGTGAGAGGGCTGGAGAGATGGCTCAGAGGTTAAGAGCACGGACTGCTCTTCCGGAGGTCCTGAGTTCAATTCCCAGCAACCACATGGTGGCTCACAACTATCTGTAATGAGATCTGGTGCTCTCTTCTGGCACCTGCATGGAGGCTGAACACTGTGTACATAATAAATACATAAATCTTAAAAAAAAAAAAAAGAAAGAAAGACGGTGAGACACTGGGCTTGTGAGGAATCAAGTTAAACGGAAAAGCCTTGAGCACAAGAGGATCCCTGACAGGACACAGGACAGGACGATGTCAGCCGACCATCTCTGTCCCCAAGGTGGGGGGTTAGCACAACTTTTTGGAAAAAGGGAATCTAGGAGGAACCCATCTATCCTTGTTTTGGGTACTTTTACTTATTGTGACTATGATTATTATTTGTCGACTTGACACGTGTTAGGTTCCTCTGAGAAGAGGAAAGCTGGACTGAAAAAAATGCCCCCATCGGATTGGCCTGGAGGCAAGCCAATTGACAACTGATGTAGGGAGGGCTCAGCCTCCCGTGGGCAGTGCCACCCCTGGTCTAATACTTCTGGGTGTATAGGAAAGCAGCTGAGCAAGCCAGTAAGCAGTGTTTCTCTATGGCCTCCCTGTGAGTCTCTGACCAAGGTTCTTGCCCCAACTTTTCTCAGTGAAAACCCTTTGCTTCTCAAGTTGCTTTTTGGTCATGGCATTTATCACAGCAATAGAAAACAAACTAAGACCCCCTAAACTTTCTCTGGAGTTGGTATTTCTAGAAATTTGATGGGTTCTCAACTAAACTATACAGCAGGGTAAAGGAGAAACCCGAAGTCTAGTCAGGTAAAATGGCTCAGGCCTTCCATTCCAGGACTCAGGGCGCTGATGCTGATGTGTGTGTGTAGGGGGGGGGCACTTGAATTTGAAGCCAGCCTGAGCCACACAGTCAGAACCTGTCTTAGAGCGAAAGAAATGGAACCGGATATGCCGACTCACGTCTGCAATAGCACTAGGGAGGCTGCAGAGCCGATGGGATCAAAAGCTCAAGGCCATTCTTGGCTAAATAGCAAGTATGCGGCCAGCGTGGACAATATTACATCTCATTTCCAGGCAAAAAACAAAAACCAATCAAACACAAAAGAAAACCAAGGCTAAAGGGAGAGGAAGAAGATAAAAAAAAAATAGCCCCAAACACAAAGCAGAAATGGACAGAAAGGTTGGAGTTGCAGAGATGTGTTGTCTTGGAAACCACTCTGCAAAATGTTGTCATGGAAACCAAAGGGCTATGTGTCGTCATGGAAACCACAGTAAGACTCCTATTAGGGATGCTTTAGAACTATTTTTAAATCCTCTGGCAATCTGGGTGGGTCCTTAATAAGAGACCGGGCAGGCAGCTGATGCCACTAAGCACCTGTGTGTATATAAACACACACACACGTATATAAAGTTTACCTATTTATGTATTTTTTTTCTACATGAACATGACTTATTTATCTACTTTTTGTCATGGCGGTCTCTCAAACCCTAGACTGGCCTCAAATTTGAAAAGCATGTATGTAAGAATGACCTTGAGCTCTCTCTCTCTCTCTCTCTCTCTCTCTCTCTCTCTGTCTCTGTCTCTCTCTCTCTTTTGAGACAGAATTTCTCTGTGTGGCAGCGCTGGCTGTCCTAGAACTCTCTCTGTAGTCCAGGCTGGCCTCAAACTCAGAGATCCCACCTGCCTCTGCTTCCTTCCTGTTGGGATTAAAGGATGCATCATCACTGAACAGCTGACCTTGAACCCTTAATCCACCTGCCAAGGGATCACATGTGTGCCCCGATATGCTGACTTTTAATTAATTAATTGATTATTGAGACACAGTCATTGTGTAACCTCGATCAGCCTGATCCTTCATTTGCATCCCTGACATTCCTTGAACTTTCTGGGACTCTCCTCCTGGGATAACAGGCACACACCACTATGCCTGGCTTTATTAATACATTTTAACTTAATTTATTTACATTAACATTTTCTCCCTCCCTTAGGGTTTCTCTGTGTAGCTCTGGTAGTCCTAGAACTCACTATGTAGAGCAGGCTGGCTTTGAACTCAAGAGATCCTACATTCACACTTTTTATTTCATGTGCATAGTTGTTTACCTGCATGTATGTATTGCAACATATGTGCACTTGTAACCAAGGTGACCAGAAGAGGGGTCATATTCCTTGGAGGTGGACTTACAGAGCGCTGCAAATGGAACCAGGGTCCTACCAAGAACAGCCAGTGCTTTTGTTTATTGAGCTACCGCTCCAGTGTGAGAGTCTCACTATCTATAACAGTCTGGCCGGGGACTCACAGAGTCTGCCTCTGCCTCCCAAATTCTGGGATCAAAGGTGTGAGCCACCACACCGGGCCATAAACACATTTAATTTAAATACTCTCTCTCTGTGTATGTATGTATACACATAATATTGGTTCATTTTTCACTTACTTAAGATATTTTTACATCTCATTTTTATTGTTCTCCAGGTAATCATTTTTTTAAATATTTATTTATTATGTATAATTTATTTATTATGTATACAATATTCTGTCTGTATGCCTGAAGGCCAGAAGAGGGCGCCAGACCTCTTTACAGATGGTTGTGAGCCACCATGTGGTTGCTGGGAATTGAACTCAGGACCTTTGGAAGAGCAGGCAATGCTCTTAACCACTGAGCCATCTCTCCAGCCCCCCCAGGTAATCATTTTTTTAGTTTTACCTATTACCACTGCATAGAATGGCAGATAAGGTACAAGTTTTGGGATGGTGAGGAGGCTCAATGGGTAAACATGTCCCCTGCACAAGCCTGGGCCCTGGGTTCAGTCCATGTGGAAGGAGAGCACTGACTCCAGCAAGCTGTCCTCCAACTTCCACGTGTGCCTTGACGCACACACCCTGACACACACTTCATACACACATACTCAAATGAAATCCATTTGAACTGCAGTCTTAGAAATATGACTTTCTCCAAGCCCACGTTTCATTGGAACGCTATAATGCAAATGCATTATTTTTGTGTTTGTGTGTTTGGAGGCGGGGTTTGCTTGCACAAGTGTGCTTGTGGTGGCCAGAGGTCAGTGTTGGTACCTTCCTGGATTGTTCTCCACTTTCTTTATTTAGAGTTTCTCTTTGTAGACCTGGCTGACCTGGAACTTGCTCTGTAGACCAGGTTGGCCTTGAACTTGGAGATCCACCTGTCTCTGCCTCCTGATGCTGAGACTAAAGGCATCATCACCATGAAATTTGAGGCAGGGTCTCTCACATGCCTGGACCACGCTGTCTGGATAGACTGGTCAGAGGAGTCCCACGGTGCTGCCTCTCTGTTTCCAGCACTGGGATTCTAGGCCTGAGATGCTGCCCTTGTTTCTTTCATGGGTGCTGGGGATCTGAACTCAGGTCCTTGCATTTACAGAACAAGTACTTTACCCTGGTAGCCACAATCCTGCCCTTCAGTTTCTTTTCTTTTTTGGGTGTTGTTTTTGTATTTTGAGGCCAGAATTTCTCTGTGTCGTGCTAGCTGTCCTGGAACTCACTCTGTAGACCAGGCTGGCTTTGAACTCACAGAGATCCTTCTACCTCTGCCTCCTGAGTTCTGGGATCAAAGGCCTTCGCCACCACTGCCTGGCCTTCAGTTTCATTTTTGATGACAGAGTCTTCCAATTATTCTTCGTCTACAGGGTAAATCTCAGTTTCTGGGGTAACAGAAGTTGCCTTTTTTATAGTTACTTATGATGTGGTTGCTTAGTTAGATTCAAACATAACCCTAGTCACGAGAGTTTTCGTCTAAGTTACCTCAACTTTAGTGAATTTCGTAAGGTAAGTAGTTTTCTTTCTTATCTCTTTGTTTACTTATCCAGCAGTGCTGTGATTCACTCCAGAGGCTCGAAAGCCTTCCTTTGCCGGTTGTACCCAGAGGTTAAGTTATTTATTTTAAATGCGTGGGTGTTTTGCCTACATATGTATCTGTGCCCCACATGTATGCAGTGCCCACAGATGCCAGAAGATGGCATCAGATTCCCAGGACTGTTGGCTGCTGGGAATTAAACCTGAGTTCTATGCAAGAGCTGCCAGCGCTAACTGCTGAGCTGTCTTTCCAGCCCCGTCACTTTATATTCTAGCAAAAACAAAACAAACAAAAAAGGAAGAAAACCCCCCAAACTCCAAAATAATAATTTAAAAATTAGGGCTGGAGAGATGGCTCAGAGGTTAAGAGCATTGCCTGCTCTTCCAAAGGTCCTGAGTTCAATTCCCAGCAACCACATGGTGGCTCACAACCATCTGTAATGAGGTCTGGTGCCCTCTTCTGGCCTGCAGGCATACGCACAGACAGAATATTGTATACTTAATAAATAAATATTTTTAAAAAATTATAAAAATTGTCAGACATGGTGGCACATGCCTTTAACACTAGCACCCTTGGAAATAGAGGCACGTGGATCTCTGTGAGTTCCAGGCCAGCCTCATCTACACAGAAAGTTCAAGGACAACCAGTAGGACCCTTTCTGAGGTGTGAGGGTGAGATATATGCGCGTGCATGTGTTTGTTTATGTATATAATTTAAAGAGAAAAAAATAGCGGTAGAAAAAACAGCCCTGGAGGGATGTAGGATACGGGCTTTTTGTCCAATGGACATCTGAACAGTCCCAGTGGCCACATCTTTTGTCCATCCTTCTTATTAAGCCCAGCTACAGAGCCCACAGCTAGGCAGCAATGATGCCTAGCAACCAGTGGCTGGTTGCCATGGAGACCGCCGGGGATGCAGATCTGAGGAAGCAAAGTGCGCATGAGCGCTCTTCAACGCCAACGCCAAAGCCAGGCCAGCTCGGTGGGGCTCAGGGGGATCAAGGCCGTTTGACCCTTGTAGACTGGAGCTGGAGCCGGGCATAGACACAACTTCTGGCTCTTTGGGGCCGGGGCCTGCTCTCCGCAATCTAGCCTCCTGTCCTTGGCCTGCCTAGACTATCGGAAGCGGGGGTGGCCAGAACATCCCCGTGAACCAGCAGCGCTCCAGACAGACTCCAGGAAGGGGCCAGGGCCGATTGCACCATATCCGGTACACGTGAGCACTGGGGGCCCAGGTTGGGGAGGAGGATCTTGAGGGGAGAGGAGTCAGGCCTCTTACAAAGCCAGCTGTGTAAGAGACAAGGGAGATCTATGGTTTTGAACATCTTCCAGGGAATCTGACCTCACTGTCTTGTGAGATTCATATTTGGGAACCAGCTCACCTCCACTCCTCTCCCTCTCAGAGTCTTTGTTCCCTGCACAGGTAGAGCAGGAAGATGTCGGAGCCCATGGCGATGAGCTTGCTGGAAGACTGGTGCCGGGGCATGGGACTGGACATCCACAGGTCCCTATTGGTTACTGGCATTCCTGAGCACTGTAGCCATGCAGAAATCGAGGAGACCCTGAATGGGGTCCTCTTGCCACTGGGCACATACCGTGTGGTCAACAAAATTTTTTTGCGGCAGGAGAACGTCAAAGCTGCGCTTGTTGAGGTTAGCGAGGGTGTGAACCTGAGCTCTGTACCTCGCGAGTTCCCGGGGAAGGGTGGTGTCTGGAAAGTGGTCTGCAGAGACCCCACCCAGGACGCTGAGTTTTTAAAAAATCTGAACGAATTCCTGGATGGCGAAGGGCGCACTTGGGAGGACGTGGTACGTCTCTTGAGGCTCAACCAGCATCCATCGTTCCCGAACCCAAACCAGCCCCCACCAAACTGGGCAGAAGCCATGGGGCTGCTCCTGGGTGCCGTCATACAGGTTATCTTCTACATGAATGCAGAAATGCGTAATCGGGAGGAAGAAGCGAGGGCCGAGGAGGCCGAGCTGATGGCGACTTGGGCGTCAACAGCAAGGAGAATGGTAAAGAAGGAACCCGGACTGGGTGTAGAGGTGGGCTCGACTTTCAAGATGGAGGACCGAAACTACTGGAAGACTGCAGAGGACCGTGGTGACTCTCCAAAACCTCCATTTCGCCGGGCTGGAGGTAAGATTCGCTCCAGGAGAAGGAAGCAGAAAAAAAATCCTAAACAAGAACCAATATGCTGGAGAAAACCCCAAGGCAACAATTACAATAAGGCGAATTTAGAAGGCGCTGAAGCTGCATCTGCCCGAAACTCAGAGATCCCGGAGTCTGTCAAGAACAACAAAAAACCCTTTGTGAAGCAGGAGGAGACAGTTTGGAAGAAGAAAAGAGTCTGGAAGGATCCCAACGATCTTCCTCGGCGTTCACGGGCCACAACAGAGGGCCCTGGGAATCTGGAGGACTCAGATCAAGAGGGTGGTCCTGAGAGCCCTCCAAAGAAGAAAGCCATGACCTGGGCCACAAATAAGATCCCTGCCCCCATGAAGAAGAAGAAGAAGATGGGCATGGGCTCCCTCTCTTATGTTCTGATTGATTCTGAAGCTACCAAGAACACGCCCGTGATTCCCAAGAAAGGGCCTGGTTCTAGAAGGGCCATGTTGGTTCAAAGGCCTCCTCGGGGGCCCCAACCTGCTAATGCACCTGCTAATGCACCTGCTAATGCACCTGCTAATGCACATGCTTCAGCTTCCAGTGCTCAGAAGACCAAGCCAGGAGGCTTCCCTCATGTCTCCAAAGGTGAGTGACTATAGACATGATGTGGTTAGTTGAAACAGGGGTGCGGTGTGGGGGCAGGGGGCCTAACAGGACCCCAGTGCATAAGGGCAGTGTTTGAAACCCCCTCCCAGGTGAGGGTTAGTGAGAGAGCCCAGTCCTCCCTCCTAGAGCCCTTGCTAGGCATCGTTTGGGTTTCTGTCAACCCGTGACTATCTCACCCACTTCCTTCCACAGCAATGTAATGGTTTTGGGGTGTGTAATCGTGTATCCCCAGCACTTTAGAGACCGAAGCAGAGGGCTGAGAGTCTACGATCAGCCTGCACTACATAAAAGTTTATAATTTGATATTCTGTTGTTTGTTAGCATGCAGGACTCTAAGGCTGCTGTTTCTAGGGCTTGACTAGGTGGGGATGGGGGGTGGGGTGGGCATGGTCCTGGACTCAGGACGTTCCCAGGCAATAAATATCTAATTATGCCTGACCCTGTTACCCTTCTGGGGATATTCTGATTTATCCACAGATTCCAGAAAGCTATGATTTGGGGAACCCTGCACCTGAGGAGGTGGAAGAGCATTGAGAAAGAAGTTTCAAGTTGGAAGCCGACTTTTTCTTTGTGGTTGAATGAAACGTGACTTTGGACTCTGTAGGGGCCTGTTAAGTGTGTGTGCTCTGACCCGCACAGGTAACGGGTATAAGGCCTAAGGAGGCGTGTGTGCCGTGGTAACTCTGTCTTTTCCTCAGTGGGAGCTTCTTTTCATCTCTGCTCACCCTCAAAGGCAGAAGAGGTGATAAGTAGCTTTGGAAAATGCTAGAACATTCTTTCCCTTTTACCCACAAGAGGGCTCTTGGTTATGTTTACCCACATTTAGCCTTTATTTTCCTCTACCCTCTGCTTTTTCTTCTGGAGGCCCAGCCCACTTGTAGAGCCTGAAGTCCCGAAGGGCAAGGTGGCCATTTTGTCCCTTGCGCTGTAAGCATTCGGTAAGTCAGGCCTTGCTCTTCGAAGCTTGCTTTGTGTACTTCAGCTTCGGTCCTTCAGCAGCCTAGCCAGAAGTTGGTTAGGTCCCAAGAGTTAGTTCTGGAGAAAACCCAAATATCTACTTGCCCTTGAATTCTTCAGATTTCAGAATCTTTAAAAAACAAAAAAACAAAAAACAAAACGGAGGGCAGGGGAGATGGCTCAGAAGGAGAGAGGACTTGCAGTGTAAACACAAGGACCTAAATTCTAATCCTCATGTAAAAAGGTCCTGCATGGACGGAATTCTATTCTCTGAATTTAGTGCCATTAAGTCTGACCATGCTGCCCTGCACCTCTGTGTGTGTGAAGGAGAGAGAATGGTGTCTTCACCATCTGTGGTTTCTAAGCTACATCCTGGGGACTCTTTTTTTCATGTTTAGCAGCACGAAAGAGATGCTGGAGATATGACTCAACGAGAAAAGGGGCAGGGGCTTGCCACCAAGTTCGAGTCCCTGGGTTCAATCCCCAACACCCACATAATGGAGAGAGAGAAGCAACACCCCTGATCTCCACAATTATTTCATGGGCACAAGTACGCCCCCAGGAAATAAATATAATAAAACATTTTAACATTCAGAAGAAGCAGCTATGGTGACACGTGGCATGTGGAGGTTGAGGCAGGAGAATTGCTATGAGTTCAAGGCCAGCTTGGGCTATAGAGTGAGACCCTGCCTCAAAATGAATAAGTAATTAAGAACATTTTGTTTAAAGTGTAGAAAAATGAAAACTCAACTGTGTTGTAATCCAAAATATCTAAAATATTCCCTTGTGTGTATAGGATAACTGTAACTAGCCATTGACTCTGTATTTTGTATATAGTTGTATTTTTCTGTGTATGTGTGTGTCCATCTGTGCATGTGTGTGTATGTGGAGGCAGAGGGTTACTTTGGGTGTCACTCCTCAGCCACCACCCACTTTTTTATGAGACCCAGTCTCTCACTGTCCTGAAACTGGCTAGGAGGCTGGCGGGGCAGTGGACCCCAGGGATGCCCTCCCCGCCCCAGAACTGGGGCTACAAGCCTGTGTTACAACGTTAACTTTTTGTTTGTGTTTGCACAGGTTTTGGGGATCAAAATCAGATCCTTCCTCTTGCAACATAGTTTTCTAATGAGGTGTCGGGTGTGTGTGTGTGTGTGTGTCCCACTCTCTAAGTTTCTTGTAGGTGTGAACTTTGAGGAGAAAGGTCGGAAGGGAGTGGAAGGGATCTGGTCCCCTGCATGTCCTGTAACACAATATCCAAAATGAGTCTGCACCTGTGTGTGTTTCGCTTTCCCGTTCAGCTGTGACAGCGAGGTCCCTTGCTAACCTGTGCTAACCTGGTACACAGCAGGCTTTCCGTCCTGGACTGCCAGCCCTCGTGAGTTTTCATGCCCTTTTCCCCACTGCAGATTTCTCGACCCAGAAACTGCGATCAGTTGTTAAACATTTGTCAGTGAATCAGTCAGCCGCCAGCCGCTTTTCCTGTGATAATCCTTGAGACCCCTTCGTGGAAGTAGCTCATTGATACAACGATCAGTGACTGTAAATGTGTGAGTGTAAAATAAAGTTGTGCAAATGAAGTCTCCGTGCAGTCTGTCTTGTTGGAGGAGGGAGCTTGGCGGAAGATTTTTCCTGCTAAGCAGTAAGAGATTCACGCGACCGTTGTTTGTTTCCCATCAGAGAAGTTATTTGTTCTTGGTTGTTGTGGGCTGTCATCCATGTCTCCAATGACGTTATGGTTTCTAGACTAGGGGATAAGTGAGGCTGAATGATCTGAAAGTAGTTTATTTAGTTATTTATGTTTTGGTAATAGGGATTGAACCTAGGGCCTCACATGTACTAGGTAATCACCCCACTGCTGAACCACACCCCCATTCCCTCACTGGGGGATTCTAGGCAGGGGCTCCACCACTGAGCCACACCCCAGCCCCTCACTGGGGGATTCTAGGCAGGGGCTCTACCACTGAGCCACACCCCAGCCCCTCACTGGGGGATTCTAGGCAGGGTCTCTACCATTGAGCAACACCCCAGCCCCTCACTGGGGGATTCTAGGCAGGGGCTCCACCACTGAGCCACACCCCAGCCCCTCACTGGGGGATTCTAGGCAGGGGCTCTACCACTGAGCCACACCCCAGCCCCTCACTGGGGGATTCTAGGCAGGGGCTCTACCACTGAGCCACATCCCAGCCCCTCACTGGGGGATTCTAGGCAGGGGCTCTACCACTGAGCCACACCCCAGCCCCTCACTGGGGGATTCTAGGCAGGGTCTCTACCATTGAGCAACACCCCAGCCCCTCACTGGGGGATTCTAGGCAGGGGCTCCACCACTGAGCCACACCCCAGCCCCTCACTGGGAGATTCTAGGCAGGGGCTCTACCACTGAGCCACACCCCAGCCCCTCACTGGGGGATTCTAGGCAGGGGCTCTACCACTGAGCCACATCCCAGCCCCTCACTGGGGGATTCTAGGCAGGGGCTCTACCACTGAGCCACACCCCAGCCCCTCACTGGGGGATTCTAGGCAGGGTCTCTACCATTGAGCAACACCCCAGCCCCTCACTGGGGGATTCTAGGCAGGGGCTCCACCACTGAGCCACACCCCAGCCCCTCACTGGGAGATTCTAGGCAGGGGCTCTACCACTGAGCCACACCCCAGCCCCTCACTGGGGGATTCTAGGCAGGGGCTCTACCACTGAACCACACCCCTAGCCCCTCACTGGGGGATTCTAGGCAGGGGCTCTACCACTGAACCACACCCCCAGCCCCTCACTGGGGGATTCTAGGCAGGGGCTCTACCACTGAACCACACCCCAGCCCCTCACTGGGGGATTCTAGGCAGGGGCTCTACCACTGAGCAACACAACCAGCCCTCTTTTTTGGTGTGTTTGTTAGGTTTTGGTTTTTGTTCGTTGTTTTTGAGACAGAGTTTTTCTATGTAGACCTTAGTATCCTAGAACTTGTACGGTAGACCAGGCTGACTTCAAACTCAGAGATCCAGCTGCTTCTGCATCCCAAGTGCAGGGATTAGAGGTGTGCGCCACCTCCATCTGGCTCTCTACACTTGAATTTTTATGTGGGTGCTGCATATTCACAACCAGGTCCTTACGCCTGCACGGGAAGTACGTCACTACCTGATGCCCAGAACTGGTGTCTTTACGAGCCTCTGGGGATTGTAATGTGCACGGACTGAGAGCTGTAGGTGGATGACTGCGGGGGAAGTGGGGTCCAGAGGGTAAGGTAGGGCTTCTGTGAAAAGCAAACAAGGTGAGTTCCGGAGTAGCAGAGACCTGCGGCTGTACAGGAGTTGATCTGCAACACTGCCATCTGTCGGCTGACTTAAAAGTCGTCTTTGGGCAAGGTCTTCAAAGAACTCCATGATGATCATCTGTTGGGGTCCAGTAACTCACTAGGAAACTGAGAAAATCCCCTTGGGCCTAATGTAGGGAGGTCTACGGATCGGACCCAGGTATGGGGCACATGAAGGTAATCTCAGAGCCAAACTGCCTGCCAGCCAGAGTTGCCAGACATATCTGACAGCCAGGGATGAGATGAGAGTCCTGGCCTTCTGGAGCTGGTGAGGGTGGGGACCCAGAGTCAGATTCTGTTTCATTTTGTGACAGGATCTCATTCTTTTTTTTTTTTTTTTTTTCCTGGACAGGATCTCATTTTGTAGCTCCAGCTAGCCTGGACTTCTCTTCGAACTCATTGTGATTCTCCTGCCTCAGGCTCCCAAGTGTTAGGATTATAGGTGTAAACCACCATGATCAGCTTATATTTTTCAATGCTGAGGTTTTGAACCTGGGACCCCCCCCCCGGATTAGACAAATATTTTATTACTGAGTTACTCCCCTAGTCAATATCCAACCCTCTACACCTTCTGAGATGGGCTGTCCTAGAACTTAATACACAGCTGAGAACAACCTTGAACTTCCGACCCTCCTCCCTCACCTCCTGAATGTTGAGAGGGATGCCCCAGCCCTGATGTCAAAATCTAATATTTTGCGATTAGTGCTGTACCAAGGAGACAAAGAAATGCTTAAACCGAGTTCATTGTGTGGAATGTTAGGGAGAAGGTGAGAAGCGTTTTCACTTTTTACACACACCCCGCCTTCCGTTAGCACACACAGTGGGGAGTGTGGCAGGCTTGGTGCTGGAGCAGTCTGCAGGCAGGAGGCTGAGAGAGAGCGAGAGAGAGAGCGAGAGAGAGAGCGAGAGAGCGAGAGAGAGAGAGAGAGAGAAAGAAGAAGAAGAATCTGTTTCAGCCAGTAGTTTAGCAGAATAGAGCAAGGCGGGAGTTCCAAGCAGATAGAGGAGGAAAGAAGGCTGAGTCAGGGAGACACCATGTCGCTTCCACAGAAGACAGACGCCTCCACTGGAGCCTGGTAAGACTTTGCCAGTAGGCCACGACCTCGTGGTGATGCACAGATTAATGGAGATGGGTTAGTGTAGGATATAAGAGCTAGCTAGAAACACATCCTAATCCTAAACAGTTCACTAACTGGAGACCAAACATTCAAATATACGAGTCTATGGGGGCCATTCTCATTCAAACAACCACATGCACTGAATTTTTTATTTTTTCTTTTTTTGTAATTTTTAAGATGTTTAATGTGAAAAATGTCTTCTAATGTTACATTTAAAATTTTAAGGTTTATCTTATGTGTATATTATTCTATGTATATTTTCTTTAATGTTTTGCTTGTATATTGGAAGGGCATCAGATCTCTGCAAACTGGGGTTGTGAATGGTTGAGAGCCACCATTGGGTGTCGAGAGCTAAATTAATAAGTGCTCGTAACAGCCATCTCTCAGCCCTCCAAAAGTCAACCCCCAACAAATGTCACTTACATGAGTAAATGGCCCTGGCTGAAAGAACACTTTTTAAAAATTTTTATTGAGCTCTACATTTTTTTCTGCTCCCCTCCCTACCTCTCCCTTCCCCTTCAATCCTCTCCCAAGGTCCCCATGCTTCCAATTTACTCAGGAGATCTTGTTTTTTCCACTTCCCAGGTGGATTATATCTATGTAAGTCTCTCTTAGGGTCCTCATTGTTGTCTATGTTCTCTGGGATTGTGATTTGTGGGCTGGTTTTCTTTGCTTTATGTTTAAAAACAACTTATGAGTGAGAACATGTGATAATTGTCTTTCTGAGTCTGGGTTACCTCACTCAAAATGTTGTTTTTTTAGCTCCATTCATTTTCCTGCAAAATTCAAGATATCATTATTTTTTTCTGCTGTGTAGTACTCCGCTGTGTAAATGTACCACATTTTCCTTATCCATTCTTCAGTCGAAGGGCATTTAGGTTGTTTCTAGGTTCTGGCTATGACAAACAAAGCTGCTATGAACATAGTTGAGCACATGTCCTTGTGGCACGATTGAGCATCCTTTGGATATATACCCAAAAGTGGTATTACTGGGTCTTGATGAAGGTCGTTTCCTAATTTTCTGAGAAATTGCCTTTTTTTTTTTTTTTTGACACACAGGGTTTCTCTGTGTATCTCCAGCTGTCCTGGAACTCACTCTGCAGACCAGTTTGGCCTCGAATTCAAGAGATCTATCTCCCTGAGTGCTGAGATTAAAGGCCTGCACCACCACTGCCTGGCTCACTTATTTTGTTTTTAAAAATGTCATCACACACACACACACAAACACACACACACACACACACAATAGTATCATTATGTAGCTCAGACTAATTTGTTCTCAGGATCCTCCTGCTTCAGGCCGCTGGGTACTGAGATCACCATGGCTGGCTGAACCATACCCACATGTTTTTATTCATTTATTTCATGTATTTTGAGGCTCTGGGATTGAATGCAGGACCTCTTGGGTATTAGGCAGGTGCTCTGCGGCTGAGTTCCTCTGCTAGCCCCTTCCTCCTGGATCCAGGACAGGTCACTGAGTTGCCCAAGCCTGTCTTAAACTGTGAGTCTCCCCAGGCGCAGGCCCAATTTGAAGCATATGCCATTTTCCCCCTTCTGGTTTTTGAGACAGGGTTTCTCTGTGTGGTCCTGGCTGTCCTGGAACTCGCTCCGTAGACCAGGCTGGCCTCGAACTCAGAGAGATCCGCCTGCCTCTGCCTCCCGAGTGCTGGGACTAAAGGGGTGCGCCACCACCATCTGCTGCCTTATATCTTTAAAAACTATCTCCCCAGGCTGGAGAGACAGCTCGATGGTTAAGAGCACTGGCTGCTCTTCCGGAGACCCTTAACTGGGTTTCCAGCACCCACGTGGCTGTAGGGGTGAAGTGAGGGGGTGGCACTTGCAGATATTGTGGGAATGTTCCAGAACAATGGCAAATGTGTAACCATTGTCAGCAATTATAGGCTATTTCTGTGCCCCAGGAGAGCGTTGGATGTTTCTCTCTGCTTTTTAATCTTCCATGAGAAAATCACAGAATGTTTCAGATTAAGTCTGAAGCAAAAATGTCCTACTGCTACTTTCTCATGACCGTGTAGACTTAACTGAGCTTTCTTTTATCAGTGCAAGGCAAGCTGTTTCTAAAACTGTCAACAGGGGAAAAGGAGGGAAAAATCTGAGTTAAATGACCAGAAAGGAAAGATGCAGGGGCAGG